AATAATATTGGTAAAAAACTAAGTGTCGTCTCACACATTTCTACACACCTGTAGAACAGTTTCAGTCAGATGTTTACAGTTTTCCTCTACAGAGTAAATCTTTACAAACAGATGTCTCCATGATCTCTGTTATGTTAGTGATTCATTAGTTTCTGTTGTTTTGATCCAGACAACTTGTTGTCAGAAGCTAACGTTAGCGCTGAACGTCAACCGGATGTAAACATACGGCAAGCCAGGAGTGACAAAATACAGAAACACTTCAGCTTCATCAAGACACCATGAAGATAAATCTCATGCTCTGTGAATTCTTTGCACAAGTTTCAATGAAATCGATCCAAGATCAATTAAATGGATTTTTTAAAATCCAACCCTAACAGTTCATCCTGCTGCTGACATTTGTTTAGAGTTTCTGCTCCCATCCAGGTGCAGCTAATCATAAGATTTAATCTACCAAACACTGATTTCTAAACATATTTAAGTTGCATGTAGAAAAACCTCTAGTTGCCGTTGATAATCACCAACATCAAGCAGCTGATCTAACTGGGAAATTAGAGGTTTTTGGGGGTTTRTTTGATTAAATTAAATCCTAACTTACTATTTTAGTTCCTCAGGCTCATGTTTGGTGTTTTCTGTCGACCAGGACCAGGTGATGGTCAAAAAGACACAAAAAAACCTGAGAAGCATCTTAAAGAACAAAACAGATACGTTTGATTCAAAAAGAAGCTGTTCTGTTCTCAAACTGAAAGCAGTAATTATAAAACATAAATATATTTTCTGTAAGATAGATCGGCTGAAGTAAACCGAGCCGAACAGAAGAGACAGAAACAGAAATGATCCTGAGAAGCAGGTTTGTTAAAACTCAGCTTGTAGGAGATAAATTGGAAACTGAACAAAGTTTAGAGACAAAAGTTTTTAAAAGCAAAAGAGTTTGAAGTTAAACTCTGCAGGAACAGAAACAACCACCAATGAGCACGCTGTGCTCCGTGAGGGGCAGAAAGACAAGAAACAGAAGCAGAAAAACTGGAGGAGAGATTAGGTCACAGAAAATCACWTTTCAGTTTTATTAAATCTAAAAGATGAATCTGAAAGTAATTATTTCTGTGGTTAGCACCTGCATCTCCAGCTCTCTGATGTATTTTCTGCTGCTGATTGGATCAAAGGTGCATCAGAGACGTGTTTACAGTCGTTTTCAGACGTTCCTGGAGTCGACCCAGTTTGGTTTACTGGCTCAGACAGATGGACTCATTTCAAACTGGGCCCATCGGAGCCAAAAACACATTTGTGATTTTGTTATTTGCAGTTTATTCAGATCAAAGCCGGACAGATTTAAATACAAATGAGGCCTGATGGGACTGAAAATAGAGATAAACAAAAGGGAAAAGGAAGTGAGACAAAGGTGAAAAAATATTATTATACTAAGTACTAAATCTAAGTATAGTTTAGTTTACTTGAAGCCGCACTAATCATTAGTATACTTAAAGAGTGATATTTTGGAACAACTAATTTAATACAAATATACTTTAGTTGTATTTAAGTTGTACAAAAGCA